CCGGAAGACGAACGGTGAAGAGGGGAGGGAGCGGTGCGGGGTGGGGTAGGGGGAGGGGAATGGTGGAGGTGAGGATAATAAGAAATCATTGCAGGTTACTATAGAGCAATTATATATATATATATATATATATTTTTTTTTTTTTTTTTTTTAAACAACGTTGTATTCCATTCTGGACGATCGAAATATAATGGATACACGCGTACATTCCATTTTAATCGAACTAAATTAGAATATGATATATTAATGCGTACATATGTCGCAATCCCAATTGTTGTTTATTAAATGATGATAAATAGAAGAAAAAGAAAAAAGAAAAAAAAAGAAGAAAAAAGGAAAGAAAGAGAAATAAAAAGAAAGAAAGGAAATATTTAGCAGGATAATTGAGATTAATCGATAAAGAGAGAGAGAAAGAGAGAGAGAGAGAGAGAGAGAGTCGATTATCTATTATATCATATCTATAATATCTATAATATCTATAAATGAATCATTAAAGATCGTTCGAAGATTTTTTCCTATTTCGTAAACGTCGATGATTCTCATTTATCTATCAGAAAATAATTCGATCAATTTACTTAGCTATAAATGCTATGTAAAAAGTACATCACATAGATAAGTTGTGAAGTAGCGTTGCTGCTTTTATCGATATTCATGTTGCGTACTTATACTATGCGGATGCACGATGCATCCGTTGTGTTTGATTCCCGATGAACCCGAACGCATAGGATTGCAGGCTAACTGTCGATAAGCATGATATTTCTTCCTAGTTGTCACGATTTTTCTTTCTATCTGTTTTGTTATTTACATTCCACGTTAGGTTAAACAGATTATAGGGGATAAGTATTCATTATACATTAAACATGATATGTAGTCCGTGCAGATTTTCTAGTTTTCTTTTTTTTTTTGTTTTTGTATTTTGTTTTTGTTTTCCCTTGTTTTTCTTTTTTTTTTTTTCTTTTATCATATTTTCTATTTAATTTCATTCTTTTCGTCTTGTTCTTTTTTTCTTTTTCTTCTTTTTTTCTTTTCCTTTTCTTTTGCATTTTCTTTTTCTCCCTTTCTCATTCCATTCGTACGAACGTTCGATCGAAATTTTTTTTTTCTTTTTTTTTTTTTTTTTTTTTTTTATCGATTCCATTGATGTTTTATCCATCGATGTTATTCATTCAACTTTTATAATTTCTTTTTCTTCTTTATCGTTCTTCAGATAAGAGAAAAATGAAAAAGAAAACTAAAGAAAATTATTGGAAAGAAAAAAAAAAGAGAGAAAAAAAAGGAAGAAAATTATTGTCATAATTTATACTCTAAAAACTCTTAACTTCTTTTTAAACTTTAAATGTCTTTCAAATGTCAAATAATAAATGTCAAATTATAAATATATATACATATATACATATATATATATATATATATATTACATATTTTTAATCAAATCCTCGAAGTTGATTGTCAATGTAATTTATAATATTCAACGTGTCAATGTTAATTGTAATATTAACGTAATGTTAACGTAATGTAATATTAACGTAATATATTACAAAATATGTAATACAAATATATATACATGTATATACACGCGCAAACATCACATAATACACGCACGTTATACATATGAGATAAATAAATAGCAAATACGAAAACATTTTCCAAAAACTTTCCAATATCGGATATCATATAGAACTTGTTAAAACTTTTATCGAGATATTTTTCAAGGAGAATAATATACGAGAGCATTGAAAGAAAACGTTAAAGCAAGTTTCGAATCTTTTAGACTAGAATCGAAGATAAGTGGAACACTCTCGATATTCTCAGAGGTCGAGAAGAGAGCACGCGACGAGACCATTCCCTCTGTATTACTCCTCCTCACTTCTATCTCTATCTCTATCTCTCTCTCTCTCTCTCTCTCTCTCTCTCTTGTGCGCGCGGGCGCGCAGCACGTTAACAGCAAGCAGGAAGTGCAATCTTGTGCCGTCCGGATCGCAAGTTTATATTTAAACGCAAGATAACGACGTTTCCATGCGCTCGTAGATTCCTCCGTGCGGTAACTTAGGTGGGCGTCGACGATGAATGAAATAGCGTTTTAGAGATAGTCGCGTCCGGTCGGACAGGTCGGCCAGTTACTTTACTTGGTTTTGCCTAGTGCTTTGGTCCGCCTGGCTAATCAGCTGGTTACTAGTTAGACAGCTAGTAACCTGGCTAGTTAGCTTAACCAATTAATTGGCTAGTTACTTTCCTGAGTACTCGTATATAAAGTCGCTCACTTTCGATCCTTCTTCTTTTTATCCTGACTAAATACCTCGCTTTTTTCTCCACCTAATCCACCTCCTTTTCTTTCTTCACATTGAACGACGATTCTACTACTACGAGTGTCTCCTATTATTTGCTAATGATATTACCTTAGATCTGATTCAATAAATTCGTTCATTATGATTTCTTCCTTTCATTCGAACGAGAGAACTTTAATAAGAATCATTTATCGATCCATCAAACTTGCTTTACGTTACGTTGAAAGTTTATTAATTTTTATTTATTTATCTTCTTGTTCTTTTTCTTTTTTTCTTTTTTTTTTTTTTTTTCCTTTTCCTTTTTCAATATTTCCTCCAAATATTTTCGATCGACGAATCTCGATCATTTTTTTTTTTTTTTTTTTTTTTTTTTCCTTTATTTTAGCTGTTACTTCTCTTTTTTATTTCTTTCGTTTCGTATTATTCCATATTCGTAATACCGTGTATATAACAATTAACGCCATTTTTTCAAGCTAATCGAATAAAAAATTCTTTAAGACACTGGTGGACTTCTTGAATACACTTACCGTTCCTGAAGTATAGTTGAAGTCGTGCCGACGACGAGAACGAGAGAGAGAGAGAGAGAGAGAGAGAGAGAGAAAGAGAGAAGTAGAGAAGGAAATGAATAGGGTGATGGTGGAGAGGGTGTGGGTGGGGGAAGTTAGAGAGAGAGAGAAGGGGGTCCCGAAGCAAAGACGAAGTTGACGAAGTAGAAGTGGGGGAAAAGAAGACAGACAGAAAGAGTGAGAGAGAGAAAGAGAGTGAGAGAGAGAGAGGATGGATGGATAAACAAGAGATATCGGAGGGAACGCACGTCTTATTACTTTTTTTGGGCCAACTCCGATGTATTCGAGTTCGTCGTAGCTTGCGTAGAAAGTCGCGGACCCACTGGCCCCCTCCCTCTTCCCCTGCTCCCACCTCCTACCATTCTCCCTCCCTTCGATCTCATCCTGGCCCCCTTCTCCCTTCCACCCCGAACACCACCAGAACGACCGACCGACCGACACCACCATCGAGAGCGACGGACTCGCCGCGCGCCCAACCACGGCCTCGTTTCAAGGCCCACCGTGCTCGAACCGGTGGTGGGGGGCGATCGTGGCGCAGTTTCGGCAACTGCGTCACGCTACGCGGTACGATCGCGACGATCGGAGACGAAACTTTGTCTTTTAACGTTCTTTACTTTATTCTTCTACTTTTCGTAAACGACCATCCGGGGATCCCTGCGAATTGTCCCGTAAATTTTATTCTTTCTTTTTTTTTTTTTTTTGTTTTTTTTTTGTTTTTTGTTTTTTGTTTTTTTTTTGTTTGTTTGTTTGTCTCTCTCTCTCTCTGTCTCTCTCTCTCTCTCTCTGTCTCTCTATCTCTTTCTTTCTCTTTTTCTTTCGCCAACGAACACGCAAATTCTTTCTGATCTTTTTGCCTTTTCTCTCTTTTTTTTTTTTTTTTTTTTTTTTAATCGTTTATTATTACTGTTGATGTTGTTTTTGTTATTATTATTATTATTATTATTATTATTATTATTATTATTATTATTATTATTATGATTAGTATTATTATTATTATTATTATTATTATTATTATTATTATTATTGTTATTATTGTTATTATTTCCCCATTATCGTTCAGTGTGCGTAACGTTCGTTTATAGAAAAATTTAAAAAAGAAAAAAAAAATCAATCGGAGATCATCGATCCAATCGGTAAGAATTGAGTTCTTTTTTTCTTTTTTTTGTAATTTTTTTCTTTCCTCATCCTTAATCGAATGTTTTCAGAGAATACAAAAAAATGAGTGTGAGGAATCGTCGAGACGTTATGTAAAGCGTCCCGTCATTCGTTTTCGCGGACATCGTCGAATTCCTTTTAGTATTATGACCCAACTCGAGTTCGACACGGCGAATCATTGTTTAGGAAGGTTAACAAAAAAAAAAAAAAAGAGAAAAAAAAGAAAAAAAAAGAAGAGAAGAAAGAGAAAAGAAAACAACAAGAGATAAAAAGAAAGAAAGAGAAAGAGAAGGGAAAGGAGAAAAAAAAATGTCGATTGAAGGAAACTCAATTGACGATATTTTACGTTAGATCGTAAAAAGGCTAAGCTAGCTATATAGGGTGGGAGGGATGGATAATGGTGTCGTGTCACGGTTAGCTTTAGACGCTCGTCAATTTGGTTCCTTAAATTCGCATATGCATGACATGCGTGACACGCGAAGCACGTTGTCAGCGGTATTGGTTTCCGTTTATTTATCTCTTTTGACATGAAATAATAGGTCACGGTAGGTAGTAGTAGGACTTTTCCATACACGCGAACGGTGTAAGCCCTTTCATCCGGGAGGATGAGAGGATTCATGCTCGTTTTCAATAACGTTTACGATATATTCAATTGAAATTTTGTAGTTTCGTTCGAAATAGAAATAGAATTTGTTTTCTACCTGTTGCATATCCTTTTTATTTTTTATTCGAGAATCACTGAGAATCATTGTAGGTTTAATAAACGAACAATTGATTTAATAGCTCGAACGAGGATCATCACTTCGTGTTAATTGTTAACGAACAATTTCATATATACGATCGAACTTGCATATATATATATATATATATATATATATATATATATTGATTTTTGAAAACCATAGAGAACATAAATATTCTTTTTTCAAATAGAAGAATTTACAATTACATCGAAATTTCGTCTAATTAGATCTTTATTATTATATTGTTCCAGATACCTCAAAGCCAATCGGACGGGCGACGATTGCTAATATCGAACTTTGATGAGAGGGATTATCGATGCGCTCGCGAGCACGCGAAACTCTAACCCTTCCGCATGAGGAGGAGGCTACGAAGGGAATTGGCGGTGGTGGAAGAGAATCGTTTCGTGATCGATCGTCGATCGCGATAATAGAATCGTCTACGATCTTATTTAAACGATCGTGGACGTAGCCGAGCGTTTTAATGCAACAATAAATTAGAACGATAATAGAAGGAAATAATATCTGGATAGAGTCGAAGAGGAAGAAGAAAAAAAAATAAATAAATAAGTATCGTTAGAGATTCTCAAAAAATTTTAGAAAGAAGAAGAAGAAGAAGAAGAAAGAAAGCATCGACACTTGGATCGATACGAAACTCGGTAGTCTCGTTGAGTGTGCGTATCGATCGTCTCATTGAAAGCAAGAAGAGAGAGAGAGAGAGAGAGAGATTGAGTGAGTGAAAGAAAAGAAAAGGAGAAGAAAATAGAAGGATAGCGCTCTCTCTCTTTTCAAAGATCTCAGGAAGAGAGCGAGGTTACTTTTGAAGAGGGAAGGAGCTGAAAGAGACGCATTATTTTTCTCGTACGTAGAACTAAGAAAGATAGAGAATGTAAAGGGGAAATATAAGATAGACAGAGGAAAAGAAAGGAACAGAAAGAGAGAGAGAGAGAAAGAGAGAGATAGATAGACTCATCAAAACATCACTGCCTTCTCTCGTACGGCGAGAGACGAAAAGAAGGAGAGAAGTAAGAGGGAAAGGACAAAAGGTGGACTCGCTTAATTGTAAAAAGATAAAAAGGAAAAGGAAGAAGAAAAAGGAAAAGGAAGGTAGGAAGGAAGAGAGCAGCGTAGAGGTCACGTAAGTAAGTAAGATAGAAAGGAGAGGACTCGTCACGGTGGCCAGCTTAGTGAGCGGTAACGTAGCGGTGCGTTACGATGAGGCGTCGGGGGTGGTCGGTGCGGGGGGTGTCGTCCTGGCAGCGACGTCCAGGCTAGCCACGGCCGATCCACCGACATCCACCATGGATACCAGCGACTCGAGCATGGAGACGAGCAATGGCACTGGTACCGGAACCGGAACTGGTACCGGAACTGGTACCGGTCCCAGCACGGCCATCGGTGCTGCTGTCCCAGGGACCGTTCCTGGGGACAGTACGATCGTTGCTAGCGCGGCGTCCTTGACTCTTGTCAAGGCCGAAGTGCCCGAACACCTGGCCGGTACATCGACGACGCCATCGGCGGTAACTGGACCGGTTGGTACCGGTAGCGGTCTATTTGCTGGAATCCCAAGCAGCAACAAGACATCCAGGCCAGACGATTGGCTCGCCACCGGGAGTCCTGGATCACCTCAGGCCACCTTACAAAGTCATCACGTCGTATATACGACGCCCCAACAACAGTTGCCCGATCCCCAACCACCATTAGCTCATTCGAGCCCTCTTGCCCATCAACAGCAACAACCGCCCGCGAGCAACAACGGTTACGCGAGCCCGATGAGCACTAGCAGCTACGATCCTTATAGTCCCAACAGTAAGATAGGTGAGTCTAACTTTTTTTTTATTATTTAATATCGATCTAAATAAGTGACATTTACGAGGATTAATAGGCGTTAAAGGGATTACGGATTAATAAAATCAGTAAAAAGATTTTCCTTTCTGCCGTCTATCGTACATTTGGAAGAGAGGGACAGAGAGAGAGAGAGAGGGAGGATCCTTAACGAAGCGGACTTTCTTAGAATCCCCTGACAGATGAATATCATCTTTCAAGACGCAACTCAGTACTAAATATCTTGAAACAGTGGTTTCTCGGAAGGATCATTTGCTTTATCTACGACGCCGTCCCTTATAATAACAGTGGAAGGGGAGTCGCCGTTCAATATGGCGGTAGAGGGGGATAATTTCGTGGATCGATTGATTTTGCTAATTAAAAAATTGAGAAAAAAAAATGGAAAAAAACAAAAAGGAAGAAAAAATCGTCGGAATTTTTTTCTTTCTTTCTTTCTTTCTTTCTTTCTTTCTTTCTTTCCTTTTCATTTTTATTTTTATTTTTATTTCTTTTTTTTTTTTCTCTTTTTTTATTAGACGATTTCGAAAGAAAATCGGCGCCAGTTGAATAAGAGTAATGAGAGATCGTCGTTTCTCCCGACAGGTATGATTAATCGAGGTCGTTCGAATCGGCCGAAACGAATTAAACGCGTTCAGGTTTAACGCTCCCTTAAAGTATTCTTCTTTCTTTCGATGTTAAAAAGCGAAGCTAGAACGCTCGTTAAAATGCTCGAGGACCGAGAATGTCCGCGTCAGCGCGATTAAATCAGACCGAACGTCGAGCTTTGATGCGGAGGCGGACGAAGACGAGAGAGAGAGAGAGAGAGAGAGAGAGAGAGAGAGCAACAGTTCGTTTCTGCTGAGGCGTTTCGCCTTTATAATGCCGTTTTGATTAAAGTATTTCTTTGTAAAAGGGGTGGGAGGGGGGGGGATTGGGAAGGAACGGGCGGGGGAGAAGGGAAGGGAAACAGAGAGCTCACTGTGTCTCAAGTTTAGCGTCATCAGTTAGGTTCGAAAATTTTTCTCTGTTCATAGACTCTTCCTTCCTTCCTTCCTTCCTTCCTTCCTTCCTTCCTTCCTTCAAAAACGATTCCTCATCCTGATCCTCATCCGCATCCTCTTTCTCCTCATTCTCATTCTCCTCCTTTCTTATCCTGCTCCTCCTCTTTGGAATGTTTCATTAACCCTAATCTCTCTCTCTCTTTCTCTCTCTCTCTCTCTCTTTCTCTCTCTCTCTCTCTCTCTCTCCTCTATATCTTCCATACGTTAGCTCCACCTTCGATCGATCGTTGCGATCTTAACTCAACCACGTAACGTTATTTATTTTGTTTCTTCCTTCTTTTCTTGTTTATCTTCTTTTTTTCTTTTTTTTTTTCTATTTCTTTTTCTTTCTTTCTTTCTTTACCTTTCTCCGTGAGACATAGGGAAGCCCCATGGTCTCCCTTCGGGACACTTTAAAGGATTCTCGCTATTCTAGCCCACCGTTACATACGTATTATATATATATATATATATATATATATATATATATATTTATATATATTTACTGTTTAACGTAATACGTTACTATACCAGTTATTATTTCTTACCTTGCATATTCAATCGTGTCTAATAAGACGACGAAAATTGGTTAACTCCGTGGGAAAAATATTATTAGAAATAAAATTGAACGGAGAAAAGTGATGGAAATAGAAAAAGAAATAAAAAAGAAAGAAGGGAAAAATTATGGATTACAAAAAATAATAAGAATGATAGAAAATGGAAGGAAGAGAGAAAAAGGGGAGAAGCGAGCGCAGGTTTTTTTCTTCTATTCTTTTTCTATTTATTTATTTATTTTTTTTTTTTATTTTTTTCATTTTTTTTTTCTTTTTTTTTTTTTTTGTTTGTTTTATTATTTCAATCAAATGATCTCGCGCAAAAAAACGTGTATTCGTACGTGTCACGTACGAATGCCCGCTTTAATCTTGTTCTTCTCGCTTCTGGAAGAGAAGAAACAGAAGATGAAGAAGAAGAAGAAGAAGAGGAAAAGGAAGAAAGAGAAATAAATTTAAACGTTAAACGTCGCCATCGTCCGAGGAAGCGAGTTTCGTTTGTATTTCTCAAACTAAAATAGGATTTCTTGTATCGCTTCGTCCACGTTTTCAAGAGGAAGCACGTCGTCGGTGTTCACCGATCTTCTCTCTCTCTCTCTCTCTCTCTCTCTCTCTCTCTCTCTCTTTCTGCAGATACTCTCTTCCACCGTGCCAGATGCAATTCTCGCGGCCTGGAATTTAAACCGAGACGTCGTCGTCGCGACGCCGAGGCACCAATTCGCCGCCACCATCCTTTTCCTTTCCCCCATTTTTCGACCGACCTCGATTCGTGCATTCTCTCTCTCTCTCTCTCTCTCTCTCTCTCTCTCTTATACTCCCACTTCTACCCTTATTCCCTCCTTCTCCTTTTTCCTTCTCCTTCTACCTCTTCATCTCTTCGAATGATTTTCATAAATTCGTTCTCTTGATTCTTTTCGATTGAATCTTTTTCATATTTCTATGATTTTAATCAATTTCAAGCAAGTGTATCTGTTTAATTCTTGTATTTTTTCTTAAGATTTTTTTCTTCTCTTTTTATTTTTCTCTTTCTTTCTTTCTTTCTTTCTTTCCTTCCATTTTCTTTTCTCTTTCCATCCCTTTACTGTACTATCGTCTACTCTCATTCTAAAATTCGCACGATCTTAAACGCCAGCCATAAATGATTTATCAAGTAAATTTTTCTACACTTTAAAATTCAAATTTTCATTAGAATCTATTTTAATCGGTACTGATTAATTTTATAACTTTTCAAAAATTTTTTTTTCTATTTGTAACTCTCTCCTTCACTTTATATTTTTATTCTTAAATTATTCATACTATCTTACGTTACTCGCAATTGATTCACCGAATTTCTTTAGATAGACTTAACGATTGATATTCTCATGGCCAATCAATTTTGTTTTATCACTGATTAATTTTGTAACTTTTCTTAACATTTTCTTTGTCTTTTATTTTTAACTTTTTTCTTTTTCTTTTTTTTTTTTTCCTTCATCGAATTATTATTCGAGCGATCTAAATTGTTCGCCCGTATTAGATTTTCTAATACAAAAATAATTTTTGTAAAGTAAAAAAAATTCAAATTTTCAAGGCTATGACTTTATTCTTGACTTTAATTTTTTAACTTTTAATTCTTTTCTCTCTCTCTCTCTCTCTCTCTCTCTCTCTCTCTCTCACTTTTTTCCTTCCCTCTCTATTATTTTTCTCATTTATTTCCCTTCTTTCCCTTTTTCCTATATTTTTCTTTTTTCCTTAATCTTTTTCTTTTTTGAACTTCCTCCACTCTCATTTTCAAATTCACACGATCTTACGCTGGTCGCATCGTCTAATCGTCGTCTTCCTTCTCTGCCAACTCAGCACGTCACGCCAACTTTATTCCATTTTCTTTTCCTTATCTTTTAAGAAATCGCATGTCCCAACTTGATCCTTATTTTTATTTCTACCATTTAAATAACTTAACATTGCCATTTTATTTCTTTAGACGTTAATTTTAAGATCTTAAAAAATCATTGATTTTTAATTACGATATATGATCAGAGAAACAAATGGGGAAAAAAAGAAAGCAAAAATTTTAAGAGTAGAGAACATTATGAATTTTTTAAATTATATACACGCACACACACACACACACATATATATAAATACAAATCCTTGAGCAATTGTCGTACTTATCTCTTTCCATTTGATACATTGAATTCTCTCAAAGCACCCCTTCGTGTAACATCTGTTATCGTTCCAATGGATGTCTCATTGCATTGGCTGGTCGTCGTATTAGCATACACATAATATCGAACCTACGTATACAAGGGGATCAAATCGAGTAGGCATCGTAACAGTGTCGTAAATCATCATCGTTCCCCTCGTTCAAAGCAACGAACAAAGTTCCTGACCTATCCCTCTTCACGAATTATTTTCCACAGTTACATTATACCGTATATGCATACATATATATATATATATATATATATATATATATTATGCCCTATGTATTAAGAAGAAAATTTTCTATAAATATTATTTTCGAGTCGTGAACAGAAATGAAAGATCTAATAATTTAAGCGTCCCTTAATTTATTAAACGAAGTTAATAAAAAAACATTGGTGAACGTTAGCTTTAGATTAAACGTAATTAATAAATGATAAATGAGAGAGAGAGAGACAAAGAGAGAATAAGGAGAGAATAAAGAGGGAATTAAAATTGAGAAGATAAAAAATAATAATATAGATTATTCTCACCCTTCGATTCTATGATAATGAACCTATGCTGCAATAGAATGCACATTTGCTATCTCTCTCTCTCTGTCTCTCTCTTTCTCTTTCTCTCTCCCCCTCTGTCGTGAAACATGTGCGTGACAATAGATGATGCATAACCTAGCATATTCGTACTTAGGTAGAGAAATGCGTGTACGCTATTAATATTTCAAAGTAAGGACGGTAAGAGGACACGGTGAGGAGGGTCAGGAAAGATATGAAGAGTAGACGAGGTCGAGGAGGAAAAGGAAGAGGGGGAGGAGGAGAAGGAAAGAGGAAGAGGAGGAGAAGGAGGAGGAGGAGGGAGGAGGAGAGCTTTTGCCAGCTCGTGCACAAGCATCGAACCGTAAAGCTCGTTCTGTCGGGCTTTCTTTGAGCTAGCTAACTCTCTCTCTCTCTCTCTCTCTCTCTCTCTCTCTCTCTCTCTCTCTCTCTCTCTCTCTCTCTCTCTCTTTCTCTCTGTCTATTCATCTATTTACAGAATGGCCTAATTGGCTTCCGTCGCCTCGAACTTGCAAATTCATAATTGCATATAGCCCGATATATTCGCAACAATTTTAATGTACTATTATCTTCATTTGATATACTCATCATTCTAAAGTTCTTTTCCATTGCAAAGGAAAAAGAAAAGAAGAAAAAAAAAAAAAGAAAAAAAAAAGAAAAAAAAAAAAAAGAAA